GGGGGGACAGTTGACGAAATTCAGAAATCTACACGCAGACTGTGAAGAGGATGCTAAGCCTGGAGCACAGCGGGGCAGGGTGAAAGACGTGGGACATTGGCGGGCATGGCAGAAGGCTAGGTAAGGATAACAGCAAAGCTGGGGCCAAACCCACAGACCCGCCATGGAGAATCATGACAGATGATGTGCCCCACATGGCAGAGACCCTGTCAGTCCCGCCCCCCCTCCCTAACTGTGGAAACTTTGAGTGAGCCAGGTACAGGGAGCCCATACAATACACAGTGGGGAGAGGAGGCTGCCAAAGAAGATGCAAACCATGAAGCTAGTCAGGAGCTCCTGGAAACTCCACAAGAGTCAAATTAGATCTACCAGGTGAGGACAGCTTATAAAATGGAAAGGTGCTCAGTAAGTGTATATATGAATTATTCCTTATAACAGGGTGGGCAATAATTTCTGGCGGGGGGTGGGCACTCCAAGATTTTGAAAAGTGGTTGAGGGCTGCACTCTTCCATGATATTCATGGAGGAAATGCGGGGTCTGGGATGGAGGTTCAGTGCTGAAAGGAGCTTAGGGTAAGGGATTGGAGTGCGGGAGGGAAAATGGAGTCTGGGAGGGAGTTTGGCTGAAGGAAGCAGTTGTAACCTAGGGCTGAGGACTGGAGTGCAGGGGGTTGGGATGTGCCCTAGGATAGGAGGGGATTGTGACCTGGGGCAGGAGAGTGGAGTGTCAGATCTGGGAAGGAGCATGGTTGCAGGAGTGGGGCAGAGGGTTTGCCCATTCCATCTCTACATCTAGACAGGAAAGGCATAAACTTTTGATTCACCACTTTATTTATAAAATGTTTGAAAATCCATTTAAAAATAGTCCACATCTGATCATGGTTATTCTTCTTTTTTTAATCAGCTGCCTTTGGCATGGTTACCTTAAAAGCTGCCCCTTCCACACTGGCTGAATGTCTGATTCACTTCAGGCAAAAAAGAAAAAAAGAAAGAAGCAGACTATGAAAGATATATGCCCTGTGAGATTCTCCAGTCCTTTTACAGCTTTGAACAGTAAGGCTGGAAGGGCCAGGAGGACCAAGGACTGCTGCAGGAGAGACAAATGAACCAAGAAGTGCAGCAGAAAGTGCACTGTGATACTATGGCTTTGCTCAGGTAACAAACTCAGAAGTTGCAGGATATTACTAAGTTACATGACAAAGATCCTAAATGTAGCAACCTGTGCAATCCATGAAAGACTCCATGGTTATTCTCTGCACTCCCCAAGGTAATAGGTTACAGCATGGTATCAACCCTTACTCCTACCACTCCACACTAAAGGAAAACAAGGAGAATCTAAACTCACCTGTGATAGCCACAGGATCATTTGAAAAGCACAGCACACTAACAATGTGTTTTTAATATGTAAACATGTGTAAGCCAGTGGTTCTGTTCTGCCATCTATTGAGGAATGGGAGGAAAGAGCCTCATGAGCAGACCTTATTTGCATAGATGATCAATAGGCATATCAAAGTGATTGATTTTGGCTGTTTTGCATTAAAATTCACTTGTGTCATGGATACAGCAGTAATGAAATGCTGTCATCCCTATTCCCTAATTATATAGGGAATATACTGTATTTAATATGCTGTAATTGATGGGTTGCCATAATTGTTACTTCACTTGCTAAGCACAAGGCAGTGAGGGTATGTCTACACTACCACCCTAGTTCGAACTAGGGGGGTAATGTAGGCAACCGGAGTTGCAAATGAAGCCCAGGATTTGAATTTCCCGGGCTTCATTTGCAACTCCGGTTGCCTACATTACCCCCCTAGTTCGAACTAGGGGGGTAATGTAGGCAACCGGAGTTGCAAATGAAGCCCAGGATTTGAATTTCCCGGGCTTCATTTGCAACTCCGGTTGCCTACATTACCCCCCTAGTTCGAACTAGGGGGGTAATGTAGGCAACCGGAGTTGCAAATGAAGCCCAGGATTTGAATTTCCCGGGCTTCATTTGCAACTCCGGTTGCCTACATTACCCCCCTAGTTCGAACTAGGGTGGTAGTGTAGACATACTCAGAGCGACATCCAACTACAAGGGGGGTGGAGTGGGAGAGAGATATAAGTGTTTCTTTCTGGGTTCTTGCTCCTTTTGACTTTTAAGGCAGAGCTGACTGGAATCCATTCAGAACTTTATTTCTAAGTTACTACTATCTAGACTTAGGTACTGGGTAATAGGTCTGGTGTGAGAACAGTATTGTGGTGAAAGACAATGGAGAAGAGGTAGTAATATAGAGTTGCTCTACTAGCCAGTGAAATCCCTAAGTTCTGACCCCACTAAGAACTGGGCTAGATGGTAGAACATCAGAACACAGTATTTACAGTGAAAGGTGGCATGGTTAAAGATATAGCAATGGCATGAAGAGCACCCTCTACACAGCAAATCCGAAAGATGTGATTACTGATAACTGATAAATGTGGTTATGTTACTGTAGGACCAAACTGGATCAAGGACGTTGCAGAACAGCAGAGACAGCAACAAGACGTGTCAAAGGCAGTGGCAGCAAAGCAGCATCAGTGGAGGAAACTGGAGGTCGGCCCATCTGAATGCACCCCTGGACTTGGGCACTTTGCTCATGTTGGACAACAACCATGACTGGAGTACAGATGAGAGAAAGAGAGAGTGGTATGTTAAAGGTTGTCCTTTGTTGCATGAATGTTGGTCCTAGGATATTTGGCAGACAAGGTAAGAGAGGTAATATATTTTATATGTTCCAATTAAAGATATTATCTTGGTGACCTTGCCTGTTAATTCCTTGGATGTCACTCCATGAAGTAGGAAACTGAGACAAAGGACTACTGCTCAAGGAAATGGGGAATGGCTGTTTGCATAATTAAATCATTGTTGCTGTGTTCCTTCTCTCTTTAAGTTTTCTTTTGTTGTATATAGATTCAGGGTATATCCACACTATGACATTAGGTTGAATTGATTGACGTTGACTTGTAGCATCCAAGTTCCTCACTATGCACATGTAGTCAATGGAGTGTGTTCCCACTGCCACAGCTAATAACTCTAACAGCAATGCACTGTGGATAGCTACCTCACAGTTCCTGACACCCATTTGTATTCTGGGTTAGGCTCCCAATGCCTGATGGGACAAAAACATTGTCATGGGTACATATCATCAGCTTTCCCCGATGCACTTATCTCCTCCCCTTCCTCCCTTCTTGAGAGCAAGGGAAAACAATCTTTTCATGCCCTCTTTTCCCTGGTTATCCATGCAGACACACTAGCACAGCAAGCATGGACCCTACACTGCTGCAAATTTCTGTGACCAGCATTGCTAACATCATGGCATTATCCTGTAGTTTGTCCAGAGCCTAGCCAGGAGCCACCTGCACAAAGAAGAATGTGAGATGACCATATGCACAGACATGCAGGAACCCACTGAGTGGAGCAATTGGCATATGCTGGCAGCAGTCAGGCATGTTGACACAGTGGAATGCTGATTCTGGTTCTGGGAAACAAGCACAGACTATTAGGACTGCATAGTTAGGCAGCTATGGGATGATGATCAGTGGCTGCAGAACTTCCACATGCATAAAACTACTTTCATGGTTCCTTGTGAATTGCTTCCCCCTACCCTGAAGCGCAGTCATACCAGAAGGAGACCCGCTCTGGGTATGTCTATGCTACAGAGGAAGATTGAAGCTGCTGCTGTTGATCTTCCAGGGTTTGAATTAGTGTCCTAGTTAAGACAGCTTTCATGAGGAGTAAGGGAAGTCAAAGGAAGTGTTCTTCCTTCAACTTCCTGCAGTGTAGACAGAGTCAAAAGCTGAGTTAAGCTACTTTGACTTCAGCAACGCAATTAACGCAGCTGAAGTTGAGTATCTTAATTTGACTTTGTCACATAATGTAGACATACCCTTTGAGAATTGAGAAGAGCATGATGATAGCCCTGTGGAAGCTCGAAATGCCAGATTGCTACTGGTTAGTCAGGAATCAATTTGGAGTGGGTAAATTTCCAATGGTGTCTGCTCTGATCTAGTAGCCAGGGCAATCAGTACCCTTCTGCTAAGAAGGATAGTGGCTCGTAGGACATAGTGGATGGCTTTGCCGCAATGGGGTTTCCTAACTGTGGTGCAGTGATAGAACGCACATCTCTATCTTCGCTTCAGACCACCTTGCCAAAGAGTACATCAGCTGCAAGGGGTACTCAATGGTTTTGCAGGTGCTGGTGGATCAGAAGGGCTGTTTCACTGACATCAATGTGGGATGGTTGGGAAAGGTGCGTGACGCAAACATCTTTAGAAACTCTGGCCTCTTCAGAAAGCTGCAAGATATTACTTTCTTCCTCGACTGGAAAATTACCATTGGAGATGTTGAAATGCCAATTGTTATCATTGGGGACCCCTTTCTCTCATGGCTCATGAAACCATATCCAGGCAGCCTGGACATCAGTAAAGAGCAGATCGACTTCAGGCTGAGCAGATACAGAATGGTACTAAAATGTGCCTTTGGCCATTTAAAAGCATGCTGACAAAGTTTATTGACTAGGTTAGAGTTCAGCAAAAGCAATATTCCCATTGTTGCTGCTGCTTGCTCTGTGCTGTGCAATATCTGTGAAATTAAGGAGGAAAAGTTTCTGAAAAGGTCAAGGGGGTTGAAGCAGATTGCCTGGTAGCCAATTGTGAGCAGCCAGACACCAGGGCAATAAGAAGAGCACATCAAGGTGCACTGCGCTTCAGAGAGGCTTTGAAAACCAGTCTCCTGAATGACCAAGCTGCCCTCTGTTGTACAGATACTGCCCTGTAAATCAAGTGCGAGCATACCTAGGGTCTGATAATGGAGGTCTGATAATGCAGAGCACAAGGATACATGGCTTATTACAATCACCCTGTGTAGCAATCAAAGCTGTGGGAATGACAGCCTTCTGGTCCAGGAGCCATCCTGGGAGTTGAATTAAAGGCTTCCCAGGCTTTCTAGAATGTTTGAGAGAGGAGGATATGGAACTTGGTGCATCTCCATGAGGTGCAGGAAAAGCAGCTAGAGCACAGAACCCCCTGAACCCTATCAGGTGTCTCATCAGCTCTGTTTGGTCACCCATTAGCCTCAACATCTCATCCTGCATCATACGCTCATGCTTTTCTAGCCTCCTGTTTAGTGGGGATGACCTCAAACAATGTTTGCCTTCATGCATTCTGATGTGCCTTGTGAATGTGGACAGACGGTGTGAGCTTGTTAAATGTTTTGTCCCGTATAAGTTTTTTCACCTTCTAATCTGTGAAAGCCTAGCTGTTGAAGAAGTGGGAGCAGCATGGCTATTCTCTGGGATGATCCCTTCAAGCCCATCATAAGCAAGGTAGCAAACCCGGGGTCATAATTTGTTGGGGATGAGAAAAAGAAAGGTGGATTGCTTCAGGTGTGATATCCTACCATGAAGGATAGAATAGACCAGCCCTCCCCAGAAACCTTCTGAGAAGGATTGAAGAGTACCTCAATGAGAGCTTTGTAGAGATGTGCAGGGAAGATTCACAGCTCCATCTCCAGACACACTTAACAAACTTTTCCTGGGCGCGCCTGTTGTGTAGGCAGACTGGCCACCACTGTGTCCTACTTATGACAGATCAAAGATTAAACCCAATTACAGTTAGTCATATGATTGCAAATGTGCACTCACCAGCGGTGCCCTCTCCATCATCAGGGTCTAGCAATATTAGGACCTGGGAGGTGACTGGTTCCAAAGTTAGAAAAAGGTCCTGGCTATTGGTGAGATCAGATCCTCCACTAGCCTGCTGAGCATTCTCCTCCTCATAATCATCTACAATTTCCTCTTTGTTGTTTCCCAAAGTTACCTGAAGAGTTGCTTGGGAGGGATCCATGGACAGTTTTGGGACAGTGGTTGGGTCCCTCCACTAGAATCCCATGCAGCTGCTCATAGAAGCAGCATGTCTGAGACTATGACCTGGACAACCATTTACTTCATTTGTGTTCTAGTATGCTTGCCTGTGCTCCTTTATTTTCATGTAGCACTGCTGTATCCTTTTTCTACTTTGCCTTGTGTAATTTTGGCATAGATATCAGCATTTCTTCTGCTTCAGAGTTGTGCCTGCACCGATTGCTCTCCCCACGCAGGGTCCAGTATTGCCTGCATGCTTCATGCTAGAGCTTATTTGCAATCCTGGGCATTTATGCTGCTGGGCTTGCTGGCCAAAGAAGAAATACAATTCTTAAGTTCCCAGGGCTTTTTCTGCATACCTGGTTGTGCAGAAGAGTTGAAAGTGCTGGCCAGAGTAGTCACATTGGGGCACTGTGGGACACCTCACAGAGTCCAAGAAAGTCAAATTGAATAGCGCTGTGTCAGCACTATCCCAAAATCGACTCTGAAACGTCAGATTTGGCGCTACTCCTCTCCTCAGGTGGAATAGCAATATCTACTTTAAAAGCCCTTAAGGTTGGTGGAAAGAGGTTGGTGGTGTAGATTCATAACAAAAAACATAATGTGGCTAACTTCAACCTAATCTCATAGTGTAGACCAAGCCTCAGTGCTTGCAAGAGGGGAAGAACTGCCTATTCAAGGTACATATCACAATTCCCAGATACCTGGATGGGAGTTGGAGCTTGTTTTGTAATTTTAAGAGACTCTGTAGACCTTGACCGTAGACCTTGACCACAGCCCTTGTGGCTGCTGACACCAGTTGGCAGAAGGGTTATATACTCTCTTTTTTTTTTTTTTTTTTGCCTTGTTTTTTGTATGTACCATGTTATAGCACTGCAGAAATGTTTTTAACTTTGTATAGTTGAATTTTAACTTTGATTCCTATTTGTTTGCACACAGTACAATTAAATTTCTTTGAAACAAGTTATATTTATTAATCAACACCAAGCATAACTTCCACAACACAAAAAGTGGTGAAACACAAATTGAGAGTCAACACTCATTCAGTTGTGAATAAGGCTAAGAACATTTTGGAGTGTCTAATAGGAGTGTCTTATGTAAGATGGAGATAATCATCTCTCTCTATTTGGCACTGGTGAAGCCTTACTTGGAGTACTGCATCAAATTATGGGCACAGTTTAGATGTGGACTAGCTGGAGACAGTCCAGAGGCAATCAAACAACAATGAAAAAAGTTGCAGAAAACTTGATCTATGAGGAAAGATTAAAAGCTGGACATGTTTAGTTTTGAGAAAAGAAGACTGAACACTAAAGCTAAGGATAATTAACGAAGTTTGTGACTTTAAATGTTTATTTAATATGAAGTCAAACAAAAAGAAAATACTGCAAAATGTTCAGTAGCCATCTTACTCTATTTATAGCCCTCTCCCCGACCCTACCCCAGCTAGATATAGAGTAGATGAACTTCCTTCCAGTCTTATGATTCTATTTATTACTGTCAGAATTCAAACACCAAAAGGATGTTGGAAGGTTTGCTAGCAATATCAGAAGTATGAGATCTAGCAGAAAAGTTTGAACTACAGCATCTTTCAACTTTTATTAGGATACTAAGACATGAACACA